TTGTTCAATCTGAGGGATCAGTATGTTTCAGAAATGTTCCCAAAGTTGTTTAAAATAAAAGTTTGTTTACAAAGTTTGACCTGTCTGTGCTCAAACTCACAGCCTAAACAATATTATAAATGTCACTAATCAACACTGTTTTATAATCAACATTTACTTAAAGTTTTACGTGTTTACTCTCTGATACATGGACAGGCCGTTCTGAAGACTTGAGGCAGCACGAGGAGCTGCAGGTCCTTTGGTTTTGGGAGTGAACGTTCATCTTAGGCAAAAAAAGCTGTCAAACTGGTCACATAACATTATAACATTATATATAGTAATAACAGCCTGTAGCGTAAACTGCTTGTCAAAAATGACCGTTCAGTATTTTTCTAAACTGTACTGGGCCCATATTTAATGAAAGGCCTCTACAATATTTATATTTTGATTAATACATATTTTCACACATATACACATACAGGTACAGAGACAGATACATATTCCATAATCATCAAATTGTATTTACCGTATTTTTCAGATTATAAAGCACACCGGATTTTAAGGCGCATTAAACAAAACAAACGGACGACACTTGAGACTTGAGACTTTTTTATTTCCTACAAGGACGACTCAAATATACATTGAGTAATAATGTGTTTAATGCAGCTTTGCGCACATTTGTTTACATTTTACAGAATTAAAACTTAAAACCACATGGCTCATTTGCATAAACTATAAGTGATAAAAAAAGAGCTTGCTCTTTGATGTGGTTCAGCTTCTGTCAGACTAAAGATACGACTCAGTGGAATATGTGTGAAAATCTGTTTGAAGTTAGTAAACACAACCAGAATTAATACATAAGGCGCACTGTCTATTTTTGAGAAAATTAAGTGATTTTAAGTGCAGTTTATAATCCAAAAAATACAGTACTGCAATTTTTCAGATCAGACCTGGGCCTTGTCGAGCTCCGGGCCACATTTGGCTCTTTGTTCAACTCTGACTGGCCTGTTTAATCTCATTTGAAATTACAAAATAAACATATTTTATCATTTTACCTCATGCACAGACTAACTCTGTGTTGCTTGTATTTTAAAAGACTTTTTTTGTAAGATGACCTCGCTTTTTCATTGTTTAGTCATAAGATAAACTCTTCCCAGTCTGAGCATCTCGTCAAAGCAATATGATTAAGGAGAAAAATAATAATAATTAAAGCCGCAAGCGGCGTCGAACGGCCCTCGCCCAACCCACGCCACGCCCGCAATCACAGCGCACCGCAAACGGCGCATCCCTCAAACGCCGTGCCCGCAAACGCCGTACCAGCAAAGTCGCACTCGCAAAAGGAAAAATGACATAGTGCGCCATTAAATGTTCTTTGCACCCCCTGCTGGCCAACCATGAAAAATGCCCATGTCAGTAATATAAGTTTTTGCTTCTAGGCATTATTCGAATTTAATTCCCAAATTTGGTGCAGATCTGATAATGTTGAGGTTTCATGTCTATGGTAGGGGGCGCTATAGTGTTTTTTCATATGTTTTATAGTGTATTATATTCAGACTGAAATCACACATTAGTGATTCAAATTTCAGCACGATCGGACTAAGTCTGTGCGAAAAGGAGCAAATAATGTCACCTTGAAATTCGTCGAAATTTTTTACAGAAATTTCCGGCTTCGTCGCACGTAAACCGTGACAATTATCAAAAAAAATCAGCTAACTTTAGATGTTCCACTTCTGTAGATGATGTACGGTGATTTTCAGGCCTGTGGGTGAAGCGCCTTCAGAGGAGTTCGTTCAAACGCAACGCCAGCGAAAACGCGGACTGAAATTTAAATCCAAGATGGCCGCCTTCTGGTTTGTCAGGGGGCGTGGCCATAATAATATTTTTTGTTTGTCTTCACATGATGAATGTGTGTACCGAATTTCGTGGCTCTATGACAAAGATGACGGGGACGTCTCCCATAGGCGCAAAATTTTTGAGTCTTTGCGCCCCTGCTGGCCAACAGTGAAAATGGTATCATGTCCATAATATAATTTTTTGCTCGTAATCATGGATAGAATTTACTTCCCAAATTTGGTGCAGATCCGACAATGTTGACGTTTCATGTCTATGGTAGGGGGCGCTATAGTGTTCACTTTTCATATGTTTTATAGTGTATTATATTCAGACTGAGATCACACATTAGTGATTCAAATTTCAGCACAATCGGACTAAGTATGTGTGAACAGGAACAAATAATGTCACCTTGAATTTAGGCAAAATTTTTACCGAAATTTGCGGCTTCGCCGCACGTAAACCGTGACAGTTATCAAAAAAAATCAGCTAACTTTAGATGTTCCACTTGTCTAGATGATGTACGGTGATTTTCAGGCCTGTGGGTGAAGCGCCTTCAGAGGAGTTCGTTCAAACGCAATGACAGCGAAAACGCGGACTCAAACTTCAATCCAAGATGGCCGCCTTCTGGTTTGTCAGCCACTTCTGAATATTGTGCCAAGTTTGGTGAGTTTTTGAACGTGTTTAGGGGGTCAAATTAGGGTTTAAAGAGCAGAAGAATAATAATAAAAATAAAATAAAATAAAATAATAATAATTCGAGCAAAAACAATATATCCGAAAACATTAGAACAACATATTATACGTTTTTTGAAAGCTCTCGACCTTCCCCACGTCACCGTGGGGTCATTGGTGAGTGACGGGCACTGACGCGCTCGTCTTTCGCCATCTCGTCGAGGTCACCCACTGACCTTCCATTGACTTCCATTCATTTTAGCAGTAGTAAATATGAGCCAGGCCTTGGGCGTGGGTTACTGGGATACTGCTGTTTGTGCCGGGGGCAACCGTGGACATAGTTGCATGTCGTCTTGTCGCATTCCGACATGCGCACGTCCCTTCCCATTCGCTCCGCTGAGCGGAAGCAATAGGCCCTACGCCCTGTCGGGGCTCGGGCCTAAAGAAACAAAAAAGGGATTGTACATGTACGTTTTATAAAATATTTGTTATTTTTATGTATTTTGAGGGTTAATTAGTTAATGCATTTTTTAAATATCTTCCAGGTCAATTAATCTAAAAACACCAAACCAAGTTCTTATAGTAGTCCAACTCCTCATGTATCACGCACACCTTTTGGTTTTCCAAATTAACCCTTTGTGGAATTTTTAGGAATTTTTCCCTTAAAAATCTGTGATTTTTTTTCAATAGCTTCTAAGGCAGATGAACTAAGAATGATTCCTAAAAATTAAGTCCTCGTCCGATTCCGGGTCCAACACATGCGGCTGAACGTGCTGTATCTCCATGATGAATAAAAGTTTAGGAGCCTGTGCTTTCTCAGGACGGGCGGGGGGAGGAGCAATAGTCGGACTTTCATAGTTCCTGGTCTGTGACGTCTCCAAGAAATCAGGAAGATTTCAGAACTGTTGTGTAATGGATGTTCCAAAACCCAAATTGTGCTTGTTTATGTGCAGAAGATACAACATGAAAAGAGTCATTTTGAATCCGTGTGTCATTCGTTCATTCGTTTTTCAATATAAAACCAAATAAGAGAACGAAAAAACAACAGTTTTCTGCATTATTTGTCTCCAAAACCAAAATGAAAAAACAGATAAAGATTCGTTTTTTCAGTTTTTGATTTTGTGTTTAAATGAAGAATGGAAAAAACAGATAACGTCTGTTTCCCGTTTACGTGACTTCCGTGACTGCGATGCCGAACTTTTGCACCGCATACAGACTGAACCAGGACTGATCCAGGTCCAGGACCAGACCGGGACCAGAGCGGGACTGAGACCGGGACTGAGACCAGGACCAGACCAGGATCAGACCGGAAATGAGACTGAGACCAGCGGTCCGAGTGGTTCCGTGTCATCGTCTGCTCGCTGGTTCCGTGCGGGGAAATGTTCTGTGGACTCCAGGTCCGGACGAGCTGCTCCGGTCCTCCGCGCTCAAGAACCACGACTGGTTCCGAGGTGGAGCAAAGCATCCGACTGACGCTTTCACACCAACGAAAACGAACTGAACTAAGAGCTTTTGGTTCAAATGGACCAGGTCCGGGACCAGACCAGGACCAGAGCGCTACTGAGACTGGGACCAGACCGGGACCAGACTGGGGGCTCAGAGCCCATGGCAGGGCCGGAGCTCGAAGCTGAAGCTTGGACCCCACGGAGGCTCAGAGTCAAAGCTCGGAGTCCGTTCTGGTCCCGGTCCCGGTCTGGTCCCAGTCTCAGTCCCGGGGATCCGTCCTGGTTCAGTCCGTATGCGGTGCAAAAGTCCGGCATCGCAGTCACTGAAGTCACGTAATCCGTTTTTTCCATTTTTCATTTAAACACAAAATCAAAAACTGAAAAAACGAATTGTTATCCGTTTTTTCATTTTGGTTTTGGAGACAAATAATGAAGAAAACAGTTGTTTTTTCATTTTCTTATTTTTGGTTTTATATTGAAAAACAAATGAATGAATGACACACGGATTATTTTGCATCAGATGGGCAGTTTAATATATCAGTTCACCCCGTTAGCGGAGCATTACATACAACTCGACCAAACAGCAGCGATTGGCTAAATGATAAAAAAGTACCTGCCTACCGTTGCGCGAATGAATTCTAATGCTGCGAGGTCACACGGTTTCCATGAAGTGAAACCGGCTCATGAATCAGGCTAGTAAAGTCATGGAAAATTCACTGTTAGGTCATGAATGTCATGGAAAAGTTCTGAAATTTGGCACTGAAAAAGTGAGAACCCTGTTCGTGACAATTATTTGAATCTGATTGGTGGAAGCGTCACAACAGAAGAACAAGCTGAGAAATCAAACTTTAGTTAAATCCAGCTGAGAGAAAAGCTCAGACATCGTCCACAAAGCTCCTGTCGCTGCACATTTTTCAGTCTGTATTGATGCTAAAATAGGCTGAAGTATATTTACATCTGTTAGCGTCTCTCTGCGTGTTGGCTTGTATCAGTGTTTGTTTCTGTCTTTGCCTCATGAACCAAAAATAAAAATAAGGAGCCATGCAAAGAGCAGAGAACAGGAACTGACAACTAAGGTCAAAGGTCCATTTTAAGCTTAATATTTTTCACATACAAATATTTCTTCATTATAGTGACAAGTTGTGTACTCATTTTGGGAGCCCTGCCCGTTTTACTTTTGTCTGGACAAAACACAAACTTTGAAGTCATTTTTCCCAGTTTCACTCTCTGGAGAGTTAAGATCTTTTACCTTTGTAGGGCAAAAAACTGTTCACAACTTGTGTTACAGCCACAGGCCTCCAGCTCCTCCTGTGTGTGTGTTTGACTTTACACAGGAAATGTCTGCTGCTGATCTCTCATTTTATAAAATACATTTCCCCCCAAAAAGTGCCACTTACATATGTTTTTTCTTCTTCATTACACATTTTTTGACTGGTGCGATTTCTACTCTGGAGCAACTTTTACTCTGAAAAAAAAAATACGGTAATCATATTTGACTTATTCAGCACAATCCATATAATTCAGAATTCCCTTGGCGAGCTGCGTCGAAGAGGCTGTGGAGCTACTAGTACCTCCCGAGCTACAGGTCTGAGTTCCCTGTGACAGATCTGGGCCCTTTAAAGTTCGGAAAAAGTTTGGGCTTGTCTTTAGTGTAAAACAATATCAATATTTGTAACACCTCTCAAAAAGTGTGTCCTCAGTTCTTCAGCGTCTCTGGGTTAAACCTGCTGTGGAGCAGAGTATGAAGGTTCAGTTTTATCCTTGTTGCTCTTGCGTTTGCATCCTGGTTTTGACTTCCTGGATGTCCCTCTTCAGACGTTCTCCTGACGCCCTCAGCTCCTCCCTCTGCTCCTTCAGCTGTTCACGAGCCTCCGTCAGTCGATGGTTCAATTCCATGAAGCGTCTGCACCGTTCAAACTTCAGCTCCACTTCGGCGTCGCCCGATGACGAACTCGAAACTGTGAAAACAACAAAGTGTAAAAGAAAACACAAAACAGAGCTCAGGACCTCAGTGAGACTAACGTTGAACCAGTGGAGGTTTTAAGATGCTCAGTATTAAAGTGAGTGACCAGCAGCTCATCTGGTTGTTTCTCGGCTCTTTTGTTTTGGCTTTTGTGTCTCTTTAAAGAATTTGTTTAATACAGCGCTTTTCTAAACACTCAAAGTCTCTACAGTTTTGTGACCAGATCAGGCGTCTGACAAGAGCGTCGGGCACTGCTGCTGGTATTTTCTTTTTAAACGTTCCCTCCTGACCCTGAGCAGTGATTGGTCTGAAGACGAGACACTCATTTTTTATGACGTAAGGTCTTCATATAAAAATAAGGTATTTCATTTCTAAAAAAAATGTCAGTTTTTGAGACATTCAAAACAGAAACAGAAAGAGCCAGGTTTAAACATCCTGCTTCTTTTTGCTGACAGATTAGATACTAAAAATATACAGAGGGGATTTTGGATCTTATTTACAATTTAAGTAAAGTAGATCTGACAAAAAAAAATCTAAATTTTCCCTCAAGTTTTGGAGAAACTTTAATAAATCAGACTTGGAATAAAAAATATAATAAAATTCTTCTGTAGGTTTCATCAAAATCACAAGATTTGTCGTGTGTAGGTGCTGATTTAAAGGGAAATCCTTATGTCTCTATGGGTGAAAAATGCATTTTGAGAAAATGGAAAATTGAAGTGTAAAAATAAATAAATAAAAATCTCACACAAATAAGAAATAATTGGACCTAATTAAAATGGCATTACTAGAGTTTAAAATGTCACTTTTAGTTTCCAATATTGTTTTTTGAGTTAGGTTAAATAGACTATTCTTGCTTTTTACGTCTTTTTATGACAGAATTGTTGCATTAATACATTAAACACTCTAGTCTGCTTCATCAAAATCTTGTGAAGTGGAAGATTTGTTGTGTGAAGGTGCAGCTTTAAGGGGAGATTCTTACGTGTCTATAGGAGAAAAATGCTTTTTGAGAAAACGGAAAACCTGAATATAAAATGTCCCAAATAAATCTATGGACACAGTTTTATTAAATTAAATATAAAATTGTCAGTGCAGAGTGGACAGTTTTGTTGTTTCTATATGAAATTTAGAAGCTGGGAGAACAAACTGACCAAAACACAAATGATTTAAAAAAAAAAAAGAAGTTTTTGCCTGCAGTGCCTCGCCTTAAATGTGCAGCCTCTCATTCCTACATAAGGCAATGTGGGGAAGTGTCTTGCTCATGGACACAGCAGCAGAGTGCATTAAAGGAGCAGAGTTTAAATGGTCGACGTTCCAGTTTAATCACCAGAGTTACTGGCATGCACCGGTAAACGTCGAGTTACCTGAGTCTGTGTCCTGCAGCCTGAACAGAGGATCGTCAGACGTGGAGCTGCTCACGTCCTCCAGGATCTGCTCCACCGTCGGAGGCTCGGGGCGACTGGGCAGAACCACGCGCTTCTTCCCTTTGGAGCCCAGGTTCATGTTTAGCTCAACTTCAGACAAACACAGGGAACTAGAAAAGAGAGAGAACAGATTAAATTATGGATTATCACCAGACTATAGAGGGACACAGGAGGCTCCTACAGCTCCGCACAAACAGTGAGAGATACAGGACTACATTCATACTATAATACTCCCTACAACTATACAACAACTCACCCTAATGGAAGAGATAATACTGTGTTTCTGTCAATCATCAAACACTAGAATCTTGACTTTTAAACTACGTCCTAAATCATTGACCGTAATCATAATCTAAATATTACCAAAGCCGAATTAATGCTAACGCGTTAAACAGTTAAAATAATTAATCAAACGCCTGTTAAACGCAAATTAGTCTTAAAAATTATTAAAAATGCCTCAAATATTCCAAACTATCAAAGCGAGATCGGTGCGGGGTGAGCTAGTCATGTGTTTACGGCCGGTTTCCCGCACTTACCTGAAGTAATAGCGTTTAAACAAACACGTGATGCCTTCTACGACGTCTTCAAAGTGTCTTCTGTGAGTTTTGAGTTGTTTGCATGTCGACTTTTCCGGGTTTTTACGTGAAATTCTGAGTAAAACTGAGTAAACGCAGACGGAGAGATGAGCTGGACAACTCTGCGTCAGACGCCACGTGACAACGGGGTCGCGTCATCCACGTCATCACGCAAGGAAGCCGTAAATAAATAAAAAAATATATAAAAAAATTATAAAACAAATATAATAAAACTATATAATATAAATAAATAAATAAATATGTATATATTTTTTTGTTCAATAAACCCAAAATTAGCCTTGAGTCAACTTGATACTTTTACATTTGCATTCATTTATTTGAAATTTAAAGTTGTTTTTTTTTTTTACTACTATTTCAGGGTTTTTACGTGAAATTCTGAGTAAAACTTAATCGCAGATAAGACGAATGAGCTGGACAACTGTGCGTCAGGCATCACGTGACAACGGTCGAGTCTTCTACGTCATCACGCAACGAAATCGTAAATAAAAAATATTAATATAAAATAAATATAATTTAAAATATATATATGTAGAAAAATCAAAATTTAATAAAAATAAATAAATATAAACGTATTTTTTTTCTATAAACCCAAAATTAGGCTTGAGCCAACTTTATACTTTTTTACATTTTAAGGTATTTTTTTAAACCACTACTTTCAATACTTAAAAAAAAAAAATAAAAAATTTTTCCAATCTATCTAATTCATCTTTATTTTATTCTGTGATAGTTTTCTGCTGAATCTAATTTGCACTGTAAATTAAAACAAAAGCTTTGCGATTGAATTTTTTTTAATTTATTCATATATTTTATAAATTAACAAAACAAACAATTAAACCCATAACAAACAACAGAACAAATAAATAAATACAATAAAAATCTCACACAAGTAAGAAATATTTGGACCTATTTAAAATGACATTACTGCATTACTGTTTAAAATGGCACTTTTAGTTTCCAATATTATTTTTCGGGTTTGGTTAAAATAAATATAAATATTCTTTCTACAACTAGATTCTTTAAGTTATTACGAATTTTTATGACAAAATTGTTACATTCATGTATTAAAAACTCTAATTTGAATTTGTTCAGGCAGAAATCAGTTAAATAGAACAAAACAATGTGAAAATCTAGTCTGAAATCTTCTAAAAAAACAAAAAAAAAAACCAACCCAAAAAACAGCAGGATACTGTAAAAACTGAAGTCCCTCTCCGGGCCTGTAGATGTCGCTGTCACTCCGCGTTTCTGCTGCTGCTGCGGGACATGACCACGTGTCTTTGTTATTACGATAAAAACGACCAAAAAGTCCTGGAGACGTGACTCTGATCTGGAGAGAAAGAGTCAGCAGAAAATATAGTGAAAGTTTATTTATTTATTTATTTTTGCTCCATAATGTCGTAAATGTGGCTTCGTGTATTTACTCCATATAATTAACATAATTAACTCAAACATCTGAGTCTGGATCTGGTCACGAGTCACTATCTGGAGGGTTGCTCTGCTAGTGCAGGTGTTGTATGATTGTTCTGCAGGTGTATGATTGTTCTGCAGGTGTATGATTGTTCTGCAGGTGTTGATGATTGTTCTGCAGGTGTATGTATGATTGTTCTGCAGGTGTTGTATGATTGTTCTGCAGGTGTATGATTGTTCTGCAGGTGTATGATTGTTCTGCAGGTGTATGATTGTTCTGCAGGTGTATGATTGTTCTGCAGGTGTATTTGTATGATTGTTCTGCAGGTGTATTTGTATGATTGTTCTGCAGGTGTATTCGTGTTCAGGACCATCTGCTGCAGCACAAATCCTTTAAACAGATCTGAGTCGAGGATCAGGACTGAACTCTGTGTGTGATCAGCTCTTTTAAACCACACACACACACACGCACACACACAAACATAGAGAGCTCAAGCAACGCACAACATGAAAACAAAACACACAAACTCAACACAAACTTTGAATAAAAGAACATACGGCCGCAACAACACAACTCTTACAGTGTGTGTGTGTGTGTGTGTGTGTGTGTGTGTGTGTAAGTTTCCATCTTTAATTAGATTTTAAATAATGCAAAACGGTGCACGTAAAATTAAGCAGTTTGGAATACACGCATCAAGAATTTCAGACTCTGGTTGTTGCACAATTCACACTGGGAAGGATTTTCTGAAAAAGTGAACATCAAACCTCCATGTTTGTTTTCCCAGTGGGATGTGTCTGTTGACAAAGTCAATCTTTTCAAGTCTTTTGAACCATATCACTTTTGTTTCTGGTTCTGATCTTGTCATATTTTAGTTTTGGGATTCGGACATCGTAATTGTGTGGTTGTTGGATCCAAACAGCGGAAAAGCGGAAAGCGGAAAAAACTTCCAAAGCGGCTTTGGAAGTTTGTGAACTCCATAAATGCAAAACAAAATCCTGATCCATCGCTCAACCTTAGTTATGAATTTAAAAAGTCAACACCAAAGTGAAAGGCTCCAACTGTTCACCAAGAAACACCTTCCACTGCAAAGACCAAGACGTGATGTTTCTGTAAAACCACAAGAACAAGAAAGTGCAGCTCAGTCTGTTTGTCTTCTGCTCCTCAACATTAACAAACGGGATTTTGTTTTGTTGTGGCTCCACATACAAAATGTTCTCTGTAAACTCGGGATGATTTCTTAGTCAGACAAATGTTTCCTTTTTGGTTCTTCCTGTGGATCAATCCTGCCCATCACCTTCACCTTTCACTATTTTTCAATTCCGTTGGGAAGAGAAACAGTTTGAACGGAGGTTTGAGTCACACACATCTGATTCACTTTTGTATTTATGGAGTTCACAAACACATTTCTCGAGTCTTTTTCCGCTGTTAGGATCCAACAACCACAACAATTAACGATGTCCGAATCCCAAAACTAAAATATGACAATATCAGAAGCAGAAACAAAAGTGAAATGGTTCAAAAGACTTGAAAAGATCAACACATCCCACTGGGAAAACAAACATGGAGGTTTGATGCTCACTTTTTCAGAAAATCCTTCCCAGTGTGAATTGTGCAACGACCGGATGTCGGAAATTCTTCTTCATGTTTAACAGATGTTTTTTTTTTTTAACGCAATAATACAATGTGTGTGTGTAAAAGTTAAAAAAACACACATACCTTTAACCCAGGAAAGGCTGAAAAGACAAACATGAAAACAAATCAGCATCGTCCTGTCTCCCTGTGTGTGTCAGATTTTAGATACGTACAGTTTTGTCCTCGCTGTCTTTGCGTCTCCGCTCCGATCGCTCTGATTTGTCATGTGATTTGTCATGTGATTTGTCGTGAGATTTGTCGTGCGTCTTGTCGTGCGAGCGTTCATGTTTCCGCAGTTTGGAGGGTCCGGCCTCGGTGCTGGACTCTGGACTGGTCGGGTCTGTGGAGCTGGGTAAGTCTTTGGCGTTGGACGGAGCCACCAGAGCCTTGTTCTTCACCAGAGTCGACAGAACTGCTCAAAACGACAAAAAAAACAAAAACAAAAAAAACAAAAAAAATATAAAAAATCTGAAAATTTAAGATTTTGGACAGAACTAACTCCACCTCAGAGTGAAGTACATGAGTGAAGTACATGAGTGAAGTACAAGAGTGAAGTACAAGAGTGGAGTACATGAATAAGTGTAGTGTTCTGAGAGGCTGTACAGTTGTAGTATTCATAGCACTTGTAGTAGTATATGCAGTACAGTACTTCTTGGTGTAGTTCTATGTGTTTGTGGTAGTGTTTGTGATAGTATTTGTAATATTTCCAGTAGTAGTTTTTGCAGTACATTTTCTGGTACGTTTCTTTCTGTTTGCAGTAGTATTTGCAGTAGTACTTGTAGTATTTGCAGTATCTTCTCTGATACAGTTCTTGCAGTTCTTCTCTGAGGTTCTCTGTGTTTGTAGAAGTATTTGCAGTAGTATTTGTAGTACTTGCAGTAGTATTTGAAGTACCTTCTCTGGTGAGGTTATCTGTGTTTGCAGTACTATTTGTGGTAGTGTTTGCAGTAGTGTTTGTGGTAGTATTTGTACTACCTTCTCTGGTGAGGTTATCTATGTTTGTTGTAGTGTTTGTTGTAGTACTTGCAGTATTTGTAGTAGTATTAGCAGTACTCTCTCTGGTGAGGTTATCTGTGTTTGTAGTACTACTTGCAGTAGTATTTGCTGTAGTAGTTGTAGTAGTATTTGCAGTAGTATTTGCAGTACCTTCTCTGGTGAGGTTCTCTGTGTTTGTGGTAGTATTTTGTAGTAGTATTGTAGTATTTGCAGTAGTATTTGTAGTAGTATTGTAGTATTTGCAGTACCTTCTCTGGTGAGGTTCTCTGTGTTTTGGGTAGTATTTTGTAGTAGTATTTGCAGCAGTACTTGTAGTATTTGCAGTACCTTCTCTGGTGAGGATCTCTGTGTTTGTGGTAGTATTTGTAGTAGTATTTATAGTAGTACTTGTAGTATTCGCAGTATTTGCAGTAGCATTGTAGTATTTGCAGTATTTGCACTACCTTCTCTGGTGAGGTTTTCTGTGTTTGTGGTAGTATTTTACAGTAGTATTTGTAGTAGTATTGTAGTATTTGCAGTAGTATGTACCTTCTCTGGTGACGTTCTCTGTGTATGTAGTAGTATTTGCAGTAGTATTGTAGTATTTGCAGTAGTATTTGCAGTACCTTCTCTGGTAAGGTTCTCTGTGTTTGTAGTAGTACTTGCAGTAGTATTTGCAGTACCTTCTCTGGTGAGGTTCTCGGCGGCGCTCATGGCTTTCCCGCTCAGGTCGTTCACCATCAGGTCGACCTGAGCCTCGTGCTTCAGGAACACGGGTCTCACGACTCGAGTGTAAATGATCTGAGAACCGTTCCACGAGACCGGAGCCATGCACCACAGCAGGAACAAACACTGAAGAAGAAAAGACCCCAACGAGTCCGGTTATAAACCTGGACTACAGAGAAAAGACCCCAATGAGACCGGTTATAGACCTGGACTACAGCAGGAACAAACACTGAAGAAGAAAAGACCCCAACGAGACCGGTTATAGACCTGGACCACAGCAGGAACAAACACTGAAGAAGAAAAGACCCCAACGAGACCGGTTATAGACCTGGACTACAGAGAAAAGACCCCAACGAGACCGGTTATAGACCTGGACCACAGCAGGAACACACACTGAAGGACAAAAGACCCAAACGAGACCGGTTATAGACCAGGACTACAGAGAAAAGACCCCACAAAGACCGGTTATAGACCAGGACTACCAACGCTTAGCAACGCTGTCAATCAAACCTGTTGCTAACACTAGTGGGCGTGGCCTTGGAGAAAGAAGACGCCTGATTGGTCCGTTATTGATTTAGTCCAGCAGAGTCAAACTTAAATTCACGTTGGGTCAAAACTAAAAACTTGGACAAAGACGTGGGTCAAACTAAATATTTATTGAAAAATTTCTACAACATCTGCATGTTTTCTCTTCTTTCGAGATCTGTAATGTTAAACTTTTTCTTATTAAAATAAATGTTTAATAATAGTTTTGTTTAAACACCGAATCCAGAACAAACAGAATATAAAATAATGACAACATTTTAAATTAATCATGTCTCTATTGTCTCTGTGTGCGGCAGATTTGAAATGATCTCATGGGACAAAGAGTTTGACTTGTCTGGTTTACATGATCCAGAAAGAAATTAAGTATTTACATGGTATTTTTAAAGCCGAATTTTGTTTTATTCAAAATGTTTTAAAATTTATTCAGAATTAAATAATCTTTATTCAGAATTAAATTATTATTATTATTATTATTCAGAATTATATATTTTTTTAAATTCAGAATTAGATTATTTTTATTCAGAATTAAATTATTATTATTCAGAATTAAATTATTTTTATTCAGAATTTAATAATTTTTATTATTCAGAATTTAATTATTTTTATTCAGAATTTAATTATTTTTATTATTCAGAATTAAAGTTCTCACATAAACATGGCAGTAGTTAAATATAAACCCCAGGATCATGTAGAGCAGATTCATATGAACATTTTAAAATGATGACGTTCACAGTTACAGAGAAAGAAACAGAATAGAAAGTGAATTGGAACCAGAATCAGTGGAGCCTGAAGCTCTCCCATGTTCACTTCCTGTTTACCGTCTGAGTCCACAGTGTAAAGATTAATGGGGAATCTGACAAAAACTGTCCCTGTGGAGCTCCAACATTCATTCCCTCTGTGTTTGTGGAGGTGCAGTGGACAGCGCCCCCTGTGGTCTCACCTTGAAGGCGTAGTAGAAAGGAAACCAGTAGAGGAAAATGTCGGAGAAGAACTCGCCGAGGCTGAACACGCCGTACACCACCCAGTACGTCAGCCATTTTGTGTCGTCCTCTTTGTTCTCGCTCTCGATCGCTTTGATTCTGACGAAACAGGAGACGCTTTTTCATCGTCAGGATCAGAGTTTAGATTTTAACACGATGTTTAGTTTGAGTTTTAAAATAGTACGACTTCTACACATGAAACAAAAACACAAAACTCTAGGTCTGTGTGTAAATGTGAAACTTGTTTAGGACTCACGAGTAATAGGCCGGGTAAACAAAACCGATCATGTTACAGAGCAGAGACGCCCCGTATCCATAAACCAGGTACAGTCCAGTCACCGACACAGCCCCTGTCACACAAGACACAGATGGTAAATGGTCACATTTTTCTATAGCGCTTTTCCACCTTCAAGGCTCAAAGCTCTTTACAACAAGGAACCACTCACCCATTCACACACACATTCACACACCAGTGCACGCAGACACTGTGGGCAAGGTGGGTTAAGTGTCTTGCCCAAGGACACAACGGCAGCATTCAACTGTGGGAGCTGGAATCACACCAGCTCCTGTGGGTCAGTGGATCTGACGCTCAACCTGAGATGTTTATGTTGAGAGCTGGAATCAAACCTCCAACCTTCAGATCAGTGGGCGAATGCTCCACCAACTGAACTACTGTAGATAATACTCCCTACAACTGTTCAACTCACTTTAATGTCACAGATAATACTCCCTACAACTGTTCAACTCACTTTAATGTCACAGATAATACTCCCTACAACTGTTCAACTCACTCTAATGTGACAGATAATACTCCCTACAACTGTACAACTTACACTTATGTGACAGATAATATTCCCTACAACTGTACAACTCACTCTAATGTCACAGATAATACTCCCTACAACTGTTCAACTTACACTTATGTGACAGATAATACTCCCTACAACTGTTCAACTCACTCTAATGTGACAGATAATACTCCCTACAACTGTTCAACTCAATCTAATGTCACAGATAATACTCCCTACAACTGTTCAACTCACTCTAATGTCACAGATAATACTCCCTACAACTGTTCAACTCACTCTAATGTGACAGATAATACTCCCTACAACTGTTCAACTCAATCTAATGTCACAGATAATACTCCCTACAACTGTTCAACTCACTCTAATGTCACAGATAATACTCCCTACAACTGTTCAACTCACTCTAATGTGACAGATAATACTCCCTACAACTGTTCAACTCAATCTAATGTCACAGATAATACTCCCTACAACTGTTCAACTCACTTATGTGACTAATACTCTACAACTGTTCAACTCACTCTAATGTCATAGATAATACTCCCTACAACTGTTCAACTCAATCTAATGTCACAGATAATACTCCCTACAACTGTTCAACTCACTCTAATGTCACAGATAATACTCCCTACAACTGTTCAACTCACTCTAATGTGACAGATAATACTCCCTACAACTGTTCAACTCAATCTAATGTCATAGATAATACTCCCTACAACTGCACAACTCACACTTATGTGACAGAAAAAAAAAAAAATTATTAAAAAATTGAAACTGAAAGCCCGGCATTTGTGTTGAACTGTGTTAGACCTGGTTCAGTTCTGGTTTAGATCTGGTTCAGTCTTGGTTCAGTCCTGGTTCAGTCCTGGTTCAGTCCTGGTTTAGTCCTGGTTCAACCCTGGTTTAGACCTGGTTTAGACCTGCTTCAGTCCTACTTCAGTCCCGGTTTAATCCTACTTCAGTTCCAGACCTGGACCTGGACTCAGATGTGGGCTCCAGACCAAGACCCAGGCTCAGATGTGGGCTCCAGACCAGGACCTGGGCTCCAGACCAAGACCTGGGCTCAGATGTGGGCTCCAGACCAGGACCTGGGTTTCAGACCAGGACCCGGGCTCAGATGTGGGCTCCAGACCAGGACTCAGACTCCAGACCAGGACCTGAACTCAGATGTGGGCTCCAGACTTCTCCAGTACATTAAGAACCCGTGAGTCTGGTCCACAGTCTGTAAACTCAGAGGAAGTGAACACGGACGAGATCTGGCTCCATTGACTCTGGCTCCAGTCGACTCCTCGCGACTTGAGTCCAGATTTGTGCTGAACAGATTTCACCGTTTGGATTCTGAGGCTCCAGAGCTTCAGGGAAAGTTCCTGCTCCGGACGAGACCTGGACCGAAGCCTAAGACCCGAGGATTAACCTGATCCTCCTCATATAACAATGTGAACCAGGACTAAACCAGGACTAAAGCAGGTCTAAACCAGGACTATACCAGGACTAAACCAGGTCTAAACCAGGACTAAACAAGGACTGAACCAGGACTAAACCAAGACTAAAACAGAACCGAACCAGAACCTAATCAGGACTAAACAAGGACTGAACCAGGTCTAAACCAGGCCTAAACCAGGACTCACCCAGGGCGATGATCTTCTTCTTGATTCCGGTCTTTTCCTCCAGTTTCCCAAGAAAATCTGTCACGATGTTTTTTTCGTTCAGAAACTTATCGGCTTTGTCCCTGACGGACGTGAAGATGTCCATCAGCCCCATGTCCTCAATCAGGTCCTCACTCAGGTCCTCACTCAGGTCCTCAGGCACGTCCTCCTTTAGGTCCTCAGACACGTTCTCAGACACGTCCTCACTCAGGTCCTCACTCAGGTTCTCAGACACGTCCTCCTTCAGGTTCTCACCCAGGTTGTCCCTCACGTCCTCCTTCAGGTCCTCAGACACGTCCTCCTTCAGGTCCTCACGTCCTCCTTCAGGTCCTCAGACACGTCCTCCTTCAGGTCCTCACGTCCTCCTTCAGGTCCTCAGTCGTGCAGGAGGTGTTGTGATCTGGTCTAATCCTCTGAAACAAACAGGGATTTAATTAGCAAACAGGAAGGGGCGGGGCCTGAGGAACATAAGCCACGTCCCCCCCCTGGTGGACATGTGCGGTGCTACAAAAACAAATGACACCACTATGTTTAATATAAAAACACAATAAAAACAAATGATTCTTTCTTTTTTATTAATTAAAATTATAATTATGTAAAATGCGAATCTAGTCAACATTATTTTCAAAAATATCAGAAATTATTATTAAATATATTTTATTATTATTATTATTATTATTATTATTATTATTATTATTATTATTATTATTATTATTATTATTATTATTATATACATCTATAAAAATGAGGGCAAAGGGAAGAGACAGAGAGAGGAGAGAAAGATGGAGAAAGATGGAGAGAGATAGAGATGGAGACAGGGAGGAGAGAGATGGAGAGAGGGAGGAGAGAAATGGAGAGAGGGAGGAGAGAGGGATGGAGTGAGAGATGGAGAGAGGGAGGAGAGAAATGGAGAGAGGGAGGAGAAAGAGATGGAGAGAGAGAGAGAGATGGATGGAGGGAGGAGATGAAGAGAGCTGATAAGAGGAGGTGGAATGTGCTGCAGGTTTGAACAAGTTTAACTTTTACACACAAAATCCTCCACAAGACTCGACCAAAACATGACAGACACCTTCAGGAACTCGGAGTCCCAGTCCCACCTTAGACCTGGTTTAGTCCCGGTTTAGTCCCGGTTTAGTCCCGGTTTAGTCCGGGGATGGTCTGGTGAGCGAGAGATGAGAGGATACAGAGGAGTGAAGTACACACTGTTCGTCTGCTGCTACGTTTTCTGGGTGAGTGAAAAACCAGAACTAAACCAGGACTAAACAAGAACTAAACCAGGACTAAACCAGGACTAAAACAGGACTAAACCAGAACTAAACCAGGACTAAATCAGAACTAAGACAGGACTAAACCAGGACTAAACCAGAACCAGAACTAAAACAGAACTAGACTAAAACAGGACTAAACCAGAACTAAACCAGGACTAAATCAGAACTAAGACAGGACTAAACCAGGACTAAACCAGGACTAAACCAGAACTAAACCAGGACTAAATCAGAACTAAGACAGGACTAAACCAGGACTAAACCAGGACTAAACCAGAACTAAACTAAGACTAAACCAGAACTAAACTAAGACTAAACCAGAACTAAACCAGGACTAAAACAGGACTAAACCAGAACTAAACCAGGACTAAATCAGAACTAAGACAGGACTAAACCAGGACTAAACCAGGACTAAACCAGAACTAAACCAGGGCTAAACCAGAACTAAACCAGGACTAAACTAAGACTAAACCAGGACTAAACTAAGACTAAACCAGGACTAAACTAAGACCAGAACTAAACCAAGACTAAACTAGGACTAAATCAGAACTAAGACAGGACTAAACCAGGACTAAACCAGGCCCTGTTTTCTTGTTCAGGTGGTGAGTTCTCTTCTGATCGCTGTGGGGATTTACGCCAAAGTTGCTAAAGAAAAAGGTCAGACTGAGGGTCGAGGGTTTGATCCTCGTGTGTGTGTGTTTCTGTCTTTGTGCCTTTGGGCAGGACAGCTGTGACTCCTGACAGACTCCTGTGTATGAGACCGCCGCTGGTCGTCATAACAACTCATTTTAAAGCTACAGAGAAACATAACGATGAAGGATGATACGGAAACGGTTTTAGTCCCGGACACAGAGCCGGATGATCCCAGTATCTGACCAATCACAGAGCAGCATCCGGGTTTGGGCGGAGCCAAAGGAGAAACACAAAAAACACAAAAACCGACGGACTTTTTTTTTAAACATTGAAATTAAAACAACAGTTATTCAAATACAAAGTTAAAATTCCAGTTTTAGTATATATTTTTTAATAATATGTACATTACTTTACATTGAATTATATTATATTATATTATATTTTAGGTTTATATATTATATATATATATATATATATATATATATATATATATATATATATATATATATATATATATTCTTAAAACTAATTGTTGGTTTAATAAAAACACAAATGATTTTGCATTTTGTTCCAAATTGAATCAAAAATGAACCAAACTGTGACATCAAACCGAAGTATGTACCATCATTTTTGTGTATCGTTACACTCCTGCTCTCCAGGGTGACCCGGGGTGACCCGGGGTGACTCGGGGTGACCCGGGGTGACCCGGGGTGACTCAGGGTGACCCGGGGTGACTCAGGGTGACTCAGGGTGACCCGGGGTGACTCGGGGTGACCCGGGGTGACCCGGGGTGACTCAGGGTGACCCGGGGTGACTCAGGGTGACTCAGGGTGACCCTGGGTGACTTAGGGGGACCCGGGGTGACCCGGGGTGACTCAGGGTGACTTGGGGTGTTCCAGGTCAGGACCCTTGACCTTTGACCTCTGTGTCTGCAGATGTGGTGGACACGTTGACCCTTGACCCCGCCCTGCTGCTCATCGTCGTGGGGACGGTGACGTTCCTCATCACGTTCATCGGCTGCTGGGGAGCGCTCCGCAACGCCACCTGCCTCCTCAAGACGGTACTGCAGGACTGGACCAGGACTAAACCAGGACTGGACCAGGACTAAACCAGGACTAAACCAGGACTGAACCAGGTCTGAACCAGGACTAAACCTGGACTAAAACAGGACTAAACCAGGACTGAACCAGGTCTGAACCAGGACTAAACCTGGACTAAAACAGGACTAAACCAGGACTGAACCAGGACTGGACCAGGACTGGACCAGGATTGAACCAGGACTAAACCTGGACTAAAACAGGACTAAACCAGGACTGAACCAGGACTAAACCAGGACTGAACCAGGTCTGAACCAGGACTAAACCAGGACTAAACCTGGACTAAAACAGGACTAAACCAGAACTGAACCAGGTCTGAACCAGGACTAAACCTGGACTAAAACAGGACTAAACCAGGACTGAACCAGGACTGAACCAGGACTAAACCAGGACTGAACCAGGACTAAAACCAGGACTAAAACAGGACTAAACCAGAACCAGGACTGGACTAAAACTAGGACTAACCAGGACTGAACCAGGTCTGAACCAGGACTAAACCTGGACTAAAACAGGACTAAACCAGGACTGGAAACCAGAAACCAGGACTAAACCAGGACTGAACCAGGACTGAAACCAGGACTAAGGACTAACCAGGACTGAAACCAGGACTAAACCAACAGGACTAAACCAGGACTGAACCAGGACTAAACCAGGACTAACCAGGACTAACCAGGACTAAACCAGAAACCAGGACTAAACCAGGACTAACCATGGACTAAACCAGGACTAACCAGGACTAAACCAGGACTAAACCAGGACTGGACTAAACCAGGACTGAAACCAGGACTAAACCAGGACTAAACCAGGACTAAACCAGGACTAAACCAGGACTAAACCAGGACTAAACCAGGGATCCAGGACTGAACCAGGACTAAACCAGGACTAAACCAGGATAAACCAGGACTAAAAGGACAGGACTAAACCAGGACTGGAACTGAACCAGGACTAAAACTAAACCAGGACTAAACCAGGACTGAAACTGGAAACCAGGACTAGGAACTAAACCAGGACTAAACCAGGACTAAACCAGGACTAAACCAGGACTGAACACTAAACTAAACCAGGACTGAACCAGACTAAACCAACAGGACTAAACCAGGACTAAACCAGAAAACCAGGACTCCAGGACTGAACCAGGACTAAAACCAGGACTAAACCAGGACTAACCACCCAGGACTGAACCAGACTAAACAGGACTAGGACTAAACCTAGGACTTAAACCAGGACTAAACCAGGACTGAACCAGGACTGGACAGGACTAAACCAGGACCAGGACTAAACCAGGACTAAACCAGGACTGAACCAGAACTAAACCACCTAGGACTAAACCAGGAACAACCAGGACTCCAGGACTGAACCAGGACTAAAACCTAGGAACTGAAACCAGGACTAAACCTGGACTAAAACTGAACAGGACTAAACCAGGACTAAACCAGGACTGACTACCAGGTCTGAACCAGGACTAAACCAGGACTAAACCAGGAACCAGGACTAAACCTGGACTAAAACCAGGACTGAACCAGGACTGGACCAGGACTGGACTAAACAGGACTAAACCAGGTGAAAACCAGGACTGAACCAGGACTGAACCAGGACTAAACCAGGACCAGGTAAACCAGGACTAAACCAGGACTAAACCAGGACTAAACCAGGACTGACCAGGATAAACCAGGACTAAACCAGACTACCAGGACTAAACCAGGACCAGGACTAAACTACTAAACAGGACCCAGGACTAAACCAGGACTGGACTAAAACAGGACTAAACCAGGACTGAAACCAGGACTAAACCGGACTAAACCAGGACTAAACCAGGACTAAACCAGGACTGAACCAGACTCTGGACTAAACCTGGACTAAACAGGACTAAACCAGGACTGAACCAGGTCTGAACCAGGACTAAA